ATATATACCAGGTTTTGAAGAGTTGATTTAAAAAAAAAATCTCACAATTAAAAAATTTTCATTACATGTTAAAATATTTTGCCTGTACTTGATAAAATGTTAAAATGAATTTAACCTGTTTCATTTTACTTTAAATGCAGCTACTAGAACATTTAAAATTACATAAAACGCTTGCATTATATTTCTGTTGGACAATGCTGACTTAGATCATCTTTAATTTTGTATTTACCACTATAGCATTGGTACTTCAGTTTTCCTGAGCATATGCTCTGTAACATAGCCATGAACATTAAGATAGTAAAAACAGATATTTTTAAGTCTCTGTGTTAAAAATATATGTATTTTTAATCATAGAAGAGGCCTTTAGATTTTCACTCAAACTCTTAGTTCTTTTTCTTTTCTTTGAGGATTGTTTAACATTTTTTATCAGTTGTCAGATTTCTGGAAGCATATGATGATATAATTAATTAAAATAATTTATTCTATTCTTTAAGTTGCAACTAGCTTAGCTTCATATCATCTCTTTTTAAATTAAAAAGTCCAGCAGTTAAATCTGCTTGGAATCTATGTATATAAAAGCCTAAGTGACCAGATGACCGTTGAACTGTCTGACCAGTAGCTATGATGCACACTGACCACCAGAGGGCAGATGCTCAACTCAGGAGCTGCCAAGCTGCAGTTCTCTGGTGATATACCTGGAACCAGAGAGGAGGGAGCCCGATTCCGGGGTGCGTCACTCGAGAACTGCCCTCTTGTAATCTGGGACCCCTTGGGGGATGTCAGAGAGCCAGTTTCGGCCCAATCCCCACAGGCCAGGCTGAGGGACTCCACCGGTGCACAAATCTCTAGCCCATTGGCTCCCCACTTCGGATCTGGCTCCCCACCGGGTCTCTAGCCCATTGCAGAGGTTGTGGGTCTGGCCCATACAGAAACTTTTCCACTCGATTAGCTAAATGATGAGACGTACAGGACCTACTGGCTGCAGCCCCGACGTCTGGCGCCCATGCCGGCCCATCTGCTTAATATCCATTTCAAGTGGAGGCAGTGAATTTTACCCCTACTACTCTCAGCTGGGAAACTGGCTGTGGCTTCCCTCCTTCCTGGTGGACAGTAGCGCCAGCGGGCAACCTCTGGGGAGGGAAGGAGGTGAAGGAGCAGCTCAGGTGGGAAGAAGGAGGTTCCCACCGCCACAGGACTCTGCCTGGGTGGAAGGGGCTGGGCAGGAGCCTGACATTGAGCAGGGTCCTGCCCTAGGCTGATTAGATTCCAAGCTAAGTAAATCCTGTTTGCTAAATTGCATTTTGCAGCTAAATGCCCACAAGTCCTCAGTTACCGACAAACTTAGGGTAAAGTGAGATGAAAGAAGCGAGACAGATACAGAGAGAAAGTGACATAATATTGGGAGAAGAGAGGAGGGACCCTGATTCTGGGTGCATCACTCGAACCGCCCTCTCACAATATGGGACCCCTCGGGGGATGTCGGAGAGCCGGTTTCAGCCTGATCTCCACAGGGACCCCACCAATGCATGAATCCACGCACTGGGCCTCTAGTATCTATATAAAGTAAACTCCATCAGTTTCTGATGGGAGAGGACTGCAAGCTTTTTTTTGTTGTTGTTAATCCTCACCTGAGGATATTTTTTCATTGATTTTTTTTTTTTTTAAGGAGAGTGGAAGAGAGAGGGAAAAACAGAAACATCAATGTGAGAGGAACACATCAATTGGTTGCCTCCTGCACTAATATTTTTGGTGTCATATTTAAGAAGACTTTACCTAACCCAAAATCATGAGGATTTACTCCTATATTTTCTTCTTTAATATGCTTGTTCTTGAACTTCATATAAGTAGAATCATATAATATGTACTCTCTTTCATCTGTCTTTCACTCAACCTAATGATTATAAGATTCATCCATATTAATGTATATATCAGCAGTTTGTTTCTTTTTATTGCTTAATATTTCAATGAATGAATATGTCACAATTTCATCATTTATTTTCTGGATATTTAGGTTGTTTCTGAGTTTTGGCTATTATGAATAAAATTTATATGGACTTTCAACTGCAAGTCTTTTTGTGGACATTGGTTTTCATTTCTCTTGCTGGGTCATATGAAAATGTATTTAAGTTTATAAAGAATTGCCAAAGTGGTTGAATTCTGACATCAAGTATATGAGTTATAATAGCTACCATCCTGGGCAACACTTGGTGTGGTCATTCTAATGTGTCCATAGTTTGGTTTAACTTGCATTTCCTGATGACTAAAGATGTTGAGCACTCAATTGCTTATTGGCCACTTGATTATCTTGTTTTGGAAATTGTCAGTTTAAGTCTTTAACTCATTTAAAAAATGTGTTGTTTGCCTTCTTATTGATTTTAAGAGTTCTGCATATATTCTGGATGCCATCTTTTGTCAGATATATATGTTGAAAAATTTTTTTCAGTCTGTGGTTTACCTTTTTATTTTCCTAACTAGAGGACCGGTACAATCCGGGACCCCTCGGTGGGATGTTGGAGAGCCAGTTTAGGCCCGATCCCCACAGGCCAGGCCAGGGGACCCCACCGGTGCATGAATCCGTGCACTGGGCCTCTGGTATGAATATAAGATCTTTGGTTAATCTCTCCCTCCTACCCCCTTCCCTCTGAGATTCATCAATCTGTTCCATGTTTCCATGCCTGTGGTTTCTGCTCCTGTGTTGAGTGTCTGCTTCCTGGTGGTCAGTGTGTGTCATAGCTACTGTCTGGCCGGTCAGCTGGTCGGCCAGTTACTTAGGCTTTTATATATATAGTTGGTATCTTTTGAAGCACAGAGCATTTTAAGTTTGGATTTTTTATTCATTTTTTCTCTTATGGTTAGTATTTCCTTTTGTCCCATTAACAAATTTTGGCCACTCCAAGGTTGTGAAGACTTTTCCCTGTTTTCTTCAAGGACTTTTATAGTTTAGCTTTTATATTCAGCCCTATTGTCCATTTTAAGTCATGTTTGTATGTCATGTGAGTTAAGGCATGGACAGTATCTTTAAATAATGTTATGTCTTTACTTGAAATATTTCATTTGTAAATATTTCTCACAATTTTGTATATGTTATTTCAGTTTCTTCTGAAAGTGAACTGCTTAACCCTTTTCTCTAACCCTATCCATGAACTTCACTTGGCATTTCCTGTCTATTCCAAAAGTTGCAATTTGGCAATGTGAGACCTTTCTGACTCTCTAAAAGCCTTCTGTTTAGGTACCTTATCATTTATACGTCCATTGTATCTCATACTTATGTTTAGCTTAGGAAATATCATTATGTTCTTTTTAACTGAATGTCTCTATTGATGGTAGTGGTACAGTTAATTATTTGACATATAACAAGCATTCGATGAATAATTAAGTGAAACAAAGAACTTAGGTAAGGGTTATTTTAGTAAAGTTTGTTTCTCTATTTCATTTGGTATTCTTAGGGTTTATAATCATATATAAAATTACATATGTATAATAATTTTTCTATAAGATATATTATGATCCATGGGGGAAAAGTATTTAAAGTCAAAATATCATCATTAATTATGGTTTTTTTAATAAAGAATATTTATGGCAATAGTTGGCCCTTAATTTGACTGCTGTGTACATTTTTCTATTTCTAGCAATATTTGGGACATTTTATTTAAATTATTTTTGCCATGAAAATGTATTATGTTATCCTACCTATGAATAAGGATAGTAGTTCCTCAATTTATATTATTGTTATTGAATAGGACATCTCGAATTTGAAGGTTTCTAATATGGGGGTTTTCATTTTATTTCAATTCAGTCAGTATTTTATGTACTTTCACTGAGCTAAATGCTTTTAGGGATCTAAAGATGAGTAAGATATAAATCTGTCTCACAAAGGGTATTCCTGTAATCTGCTAAATAGTGTTTGAATCATGTTTTTTTTCTTTATTAGTTTTCAATATATCATAAGTTAGTATTGGGAGCATTTCAGAAAGCAGTGAGTGGTAGCCATGTTCAGTATACAAATAGATGTTTTAGGACCCTTATTTGAATAACATATAATTTACATCTTTATAATGATAGAGCCATATTTTCCAGTCTTTCTTTATAGTTGGTGTATATATGAAAGAGATAGTATGGGTTTGATGTTGTGATGAATCCTGGAATAGATCTGTAAACTTATCTCAACCCATCTTTCTACAGATAAGGAAGAAACACAGGGTTCTAAACTCAAAGGCCAACAGGACTTTCTGAATGGAGAGGTCTCAGTTTAACAGTGCAAGCCCACTGATAAATAACAGCTTTTAGTTGGCCTGAGTTTTTGGGCGATTGAGTGGATAAAAGCTCCTGTTCACTATACCTTGTTGTTCCTGTGCAGGATTATGGGCCTAATTTTGCTCCATCTTATTTTTCAAGAGAATCCAGAATTATACATAAATACAAATGTATGTGTGTGTAAAAATTAAATGAAGTCTTTCCAATTTTATTATTTAGGTGTTTTTTTTATAACAAACTGCATGGTCCAAACAAAACACTTTTAATTATTGATTAGTTATACATGGGTGAAGTAAAATGAAAAAAGAGAAGGGATTTGTTTAATTTATGTGATGTTTCCTTACTTTTTTTAGTACTGGACATATTGTAAACATGATAGGATTAGTTCTTCCATAGAATTTGTTATAGCTTTTCCAAGTATAGTTTCTTTTTTCCTGAAGCCCTCCCAACCATTTTTCTCACTAAATTTCTCCAAATTTGAATTTGAATTGGAGATGAAGGGACATTATGATGAGATTAGTAGGACTAAAATATTTAACATAATTTACTATTTCAAAATTTGAAATTACTATGCTTAGATGAAAAATACAGCAGTAATTTTATAGATGGCAGCCAAATGTTATTGAAATTATACATATTTTAAAACTATGACTAAATTGCTGTAGTGAAACTCTAAAAGTACCATCATTACTTTATCTAGTATTACTGTGAAATTAGATCTTGAGCAATTTTTAATTATGTTTTAGATTGTTAGAGACGGATAGTAAGTCTTTGAAATCTGTAAATGGGTCAAGAAGAAACAGTGGCTCCTCCCTTATATCAAGTTCATCAGCCTCTAGCAACCTCAGTCACCTTGAAGAAGATTCTTGGATACTTTGGGGAAGACTTGTTAATGAATGGGAAGATGTGCACAAAAAGAAGGAAAAACACATTAAGGTATTTATATTCTTTGTTGAAGTTCTTTCTCTTATCCCAAAGAGAATCAGGCGTAGATTGATAGAGGATTAAAATTCAGATTCAATTACTTTCCAAGTACTGTAATAAAGAAGTGTCCTTTATATGTTTTCATTTATTTGTCCCCATAGAAGTTTTGATTTGTAAATATCAGTTGTTATAGAAGTCTCCTAATTGTAGAAATATATAGGTGAAAATTATTTTAGAGATAAAATTCTATCGTTTTATAGATTCAGAAATGTAGTTGTGACATCCTTGCATTTTTAGTATGTAGCCTTTTCTTTTTTTGTCTGATAACAGCCCTTTATAAGATGATGGTTATTGTACTGCCATTCACAGCTCTGCAGATTATTGAGTCCTTAGTACCTTTAGAGATCATACTTTGAGTGAGATTATAAGAATTTATAACATTATAGCCCTTCCTTCACCAGCCAGAACAGGATACACCCAAGGGCCAAATCTTAGTATTGGTTAAAAGGTTCCCAAGTCTTATTATAAAACTAGCTTTGTGAATTATAAACTTGGTAAAGGTCTCCCACTCTATTTCAACCCCCAATAAGTCTTCTTTGGTTTTCAAGGTAGGAGACTTAAGTAATTCATTTTAAAATTTTACTTTTGTTTTTAGGAACTTGTTCGTAAAGGGATACCTCACCATTTTAGAGCAATAGTTTGGCAACTTTTATGCAGTGCACAGAGTATGCCAATCAAGGATCAATATGCAGAACTCCTGAAAATGACTTCACCTTGTGAAAAATTGATCCGAAGGGACATTGCTAGAACTTATCCCGAACACAATTTTTTTAAGGAAAAAGATAGCTTTGGACAGGAGGTTTTATTTAATGTAATGAAGGTAAGTTCTATTTATTTTTCGAAATGAAGTGAATTCTCAGAAGGTTGAAAGTATACATTTTTCACAATGAAGCATGAACTCTCACCCCAATAATCAGTTGCTTTGGCAATAAATTTGGCTTTAGCATAATTTTTGCTTTAATACTGATGCTACATTACAGTTTAGTTTAGAGCACTTATTAGAAAATTCATTACATTGCTCAGTACTAGTTGGCCAAAATCAAATAGCCTAGAAATCACTATACAGTGAGAGATCCTCTAGGAAAATGAATACTTCACCTTCTATGAGTTTCAGTATCTGGGAACAAATTTTTCTACTTGATGTCGTCAGTGTTGTTAAGAGCTCTTAGCCATTGAAAGTCTGTGCCATTGTAATTTTTCTTCAGTATTGCCTTTTCCTCTTCCATAGTATCTTTCCCTTCCAACTACCTCTGTGAAATACTGATTTCTTATTAAATCATTTATATTTTGCCAAAGCTTTCTTTACCTTGTAGTCTTATTTTTATTTAATATACATATTAAATTATTTTTAAGTATTGTTACTTTCCCAAGTACAAACTTCTTTCTTTTTTTGTCCTTAGGAGTTGTTAGTTTCTAATTGGGAAATTGTCAAAAGAAAAATTGATGTAATAAATCATTTGCTTATTAAATATTTATAGTATACCATTTACAACAAGCAACTAAGAGTTTTTCTTAAAAATAGTCTTTAATTTACTTGTTTTACTATTTTTAAGTTTTTAGAGAAGGAAAGTATAATATATTAAAGTATTTTGAACAATATTTTTTGCTTTTTAGGCATATTCTTTAGTGGATCGTGAGGTTGGTTACTGTCAAGGAAGTGCTTTTATAGTTGGACTGCTGCTTATGCAGGTAAGTTAGTACAAGTGTTAAATGTCCAATTTATTTATTAAAGTTGCATTGAAGAATTTAAAAAGTATCCTTGTTTTTTATTAAGTGTAAGTTGCTATTGGGCATTTTTTCCTAAGCACAATTTAATTAGGAGCATTTAGTTTGCACTTTAAAAGATTACTAAAATTGTTGAAAATAACATGCTATAATATCCTCCACTAAAGGAAATTTCACCACTTTGGTATTTACATTTGGACCACAGTATTTACTAAAGCCTGTATCTACTTTTAAATATTGACATATTTTAAATATGTCAATATTTAAGGAGGAGTAATCTTTTTCAACCAAGGAGGACATGATTCAAGTGTTGGTATGCAATGTTATGTTATACAACATCTTCGGAAATTATATAGGACTTCTTGAGGACTTGTTATGGGCTCTAAGTGTGGTACTCAGTCACACCAGGGATATGGTATATATTTCTGTTGACAGTGGGATTGAGTGGGATGTTTTCAGAAGTCAGGGACAGAATAATCTTAGCTTTGAAGGGAAATGTCATAGAGTGGTTATCTCTTCAGCCTTGTTAAAAAAAATTAAAAAGTCCATCATACTCTATATTTAGTCTCAGATTAAAATATAGTCTGAAAGGAAACCTTGGAAATAATTTGATTTGAATTACATAGGCTGGTTTTTGCATCTTAATTCTGCACTGAGTTCTGTGAATTTGGACTAGATTATTTAACCTCTCTCTGAGTCTTAATTAGGCAGTATTGTCTGCTTTCAGATTCATTGTGAGGGCTATATGAGATAATATATGTAAAAGCCTAGCATGATGTTTGGCACATAGTAGATAGGCAATAAAAGTTAAATGACTTCCTAAGATTACATATCATGATAGATAAAAGCAGAATAAGATTCAAAAACTGTGTTTCCTAATACTTTGCTTCAATTAGCTAACAGTTCTGAGTTTTAAAGCTCTATACGTATTAGGGATGTACACATTTCTGAGTCTCAAAAACTTGATGTAGAGACACTGGTTTATAGTAAAAATGACTGGTTTTTACTTTGCTTTATAATAGAAGAACTGCACCCAGAAGTTGTTATTGCAGAATATTTGTCTATTTCTAACATTAGGTTATAAATAACAAGAAAAAAAAAACACCTAGAAATGTTAATGTTGGAAGTATAGCTGTTTTACAACATTGTGATTTTCCTAATTTGTAATTGGTTAGTATTGGTAGACCTTTCACTGTTGGACTCAAATATCCCTGTTATTAGACCAGTGATTTTTGTCACAATTCTGTTCCTTTTACTTTCATATTAGTTCCGAAATAACATTTCTATTGATGATCTAAAAAGCAGTTATCTCTACTTGAGCTATGAGTCAGTCTTCCAACAGCTGACCTAGCTAGCTCTATAGGATTTAGGCCGATGGTCTATCCACTGAGCCAAACCAGCTAGGCGGGATGAAACTTTCTGAGTCTTAATTAGGCAGTATTGTCTGCTTTCAGATTCATTGTGAGGGCTATATGAGATAATATATGTAAAAGCCTAGCATGATGTTTGGCACATAGTAGATAGGCAATAAAAGTTAAATGACTTCCTAAGATTACATATCATGATAGATAAAAGCAGAATAAGATTCAAAAACTGTGTTTCCTAATACTTTGCTTCAATTAGCTAACAGTTCTGAGTTTTAAAGCTCTATACGTATTAGGGATGTACACATTTCTGAGTCTCAAAAACTTGATGTAGAGACACTGGTTTATAGTAAAAATGACTGGTTTTTACTTTGCTTTATAATAGAAGAACTGCACCCAGAAGTTGTTATTGCAGAATATTTGTCTATTTCTAACATTAGGTTATAAATAACAAGAAAAAAAAAACACCTAGAAATGTTAATGTTGGAAGTATAGCTGTTTTACAACATTGTGATTTTCCTAATTTGTAATTGGTTAGTATTGGTAGACCTTTCACTGTTGGACTCAAATATCCCTGTTATTAGACCAGTGATTTTTGTCACAATTCTGTTCCTTTTACTTTCATATTAGTTCCGAAATAACATTTCTATTGATGATCTAAAAAGCAGTTATCTCTACTTGAGCTATGAGTCAGTCTTCCAACAGCTGACCTAGCTAGCTCTATAGGATTTAGGCCGATGGTCTATCCACTGAGCCAAACCAGCTAGGCGGGATGAAACTTTCTTTTTTTTTTTTTCTTAGCGGAAGGGAGAGGGAGAAATGGAAACTTCAATGATGAGAGTGAATCATTGATCGTCTGCCTCCTGCACGCCCCATACAGGGGATCGAGCCTGCAACTCAGGCATGTGCTCCAACCGTGACCTCCTGGTTCATAGATTGATGCTCAACCACTGAGCCATGCCGCCTGGGCGGGTTGTAACTTTTTTTGGTATGTTCACAAGAGAAGAAATTCTTGTAAGACAAAAAAAGGGGAGATTAATTGATTTATTCGTACTGTAACTGTCATGAGGGGCTGGAGGAGAAGTGGAAGGTAGTGGTAGGAGATGGGGTTGGAGAAGTGGTAAGGGGTCATGTCATATAGGACCTATAAGGATTGTGGCTTTCATTGAGGATATGGAAAGCCACTAGAGAAGCTTTTTGTTTTGAGCAGTGGAGTGAAATGATTGAAATGACGAATTGAAAGGATCACTCTGGCAGCTTCAGGATGTATGGAGAGTAGGTTGTTGGGAAGGGAGCACAAGGGAGGCAGCAGGGTGGCCAGTGAGGAAGCCCTTGCAGTTGTCCAGACCACGGATTACTGCTTTCTTGATGGTGGTTTGGACTAGGTGTTATTGCAGAATATTTGTCTATTTCTAACATTAGATTATAAATAATAATAATAAAAAAACTAGAAATGTTAATGTTGGAAGTATAGCTTTTTACAACATTGTGATTTTCCACAAATAGCAATGTTATGATGAGAAGTGGTTGATTTTTAAGATATTTTGAATGTAGAACCAGCAGGATTTACTGATAGATTGGATGTGGAGTAAAAGAGAAAGGAGGAATGATGACTTATAAGGTTTTTGAGCAGAAGTATGGGACAAGAAGTAGCAGGAAATTAGGAATGTGATTTAAGCTGTCTGTTGGACATCCAAGTGGGGATATAAATGTGCAGGTGGAAATACGAGATGGGCATTGGGGGAATGTCCAGGCTGATAGATAGAAGAGAGAGACTAAAGGCTATAAAAATGGGTTCAGATGCAGGTGGAATGGTAGATGTGGTGGCGTGAGAATGGGACAGTTTTCTTTTAATTGCTTCTATTAAAAAAATACTGAAATAGCAAACAAGGTCATTAGCTTAGAGACAAGTGGAAGCTTGAGGACAGAGAAGAAAGTCTGGAATGAGTGATTGAATTAGAGAAATAAAATATACCAGACAGCGTTAAAGATCCACTGAGATTAGTGGTCCTAAATTCAAAATGAGACCAGCCAGCAGGGCTAAGTGTTTTTATTTTACCCACCCAGACACTTTCTGCTGCCTAAATGTAGTTACAGAGTTGGATTTTTCTAAAGGTGGAGTTTTGCAGTTAGGATTATAACTGAGAGAGAAAGACAAAGTAATTGTGGATTTAAATGTGTGAATAAATATAACAGTAAAGTGAGCACAGGAGAGAGTTGGGAACAAAGTTAAGGTAGTGTATAAATGAATGAGGACTGCAAGGTCAGATCATTGTAAATACTTTATGTACATTAATCTTCACTGCATCCCTGTGAAGTAAGTACTATTATTATACCCATTTGATAGGTAGTAAAGCTGAGCAACTGAGAAGTTAAATAATTTGCTGAAGGTCATACAGCTGTTAATGGGAGTTGAACCGTAGGTGGTGTGGCTGTAGAGCCTGAGCTAGTAACTGCCTGCCAAGATCATTGGAGCAAAGGAAGCCAGAGGTGTCTTAGGCCACAGGTGTCCTTAATCCACATGAAAATGAGTGTGGTTTGAGGGGATGACCCACAGGTTTGTAGATGCTGTAAAAAAGAGGAATCATGGGTAATGTCTACTGGTATGTGTTTCAAGAGAATGGGGAGTTAATGCTGTGGAAGTGACAATGAGGTTCAAGAAGGGCTATGTACCTCTCTACCCCATGGCTTCTTTCAGTGCTGTGGGAGATAAAACAGCCACCTCGAAAGAGAGCCAGGTTTTTGTGTCAAACTGTTCTTAAGGGAAAGCCAGATTTCAATTAGAAAAGAAGGTGAAAGAACATTTGATAAAGAGATTGAGGATATAGTTAGGATATTTTGTTGATGGCAGATTATGAGTTCTAGAAAGTTCTGTGGAAGAGGTTTTGGGAAGGTTGTAAGTGGGGTTAAATTAGGGGAGCAGTAGAATCACATAGGATGAGAATTCTGGGATTTTTTTTTCTTCTTCAGTGACTGACTTAAATCAGTGGGGTTGTAGGGCTTAAGAGGATTAATGAGGATGGTTTCCAAGGCAGAATTGTGGTTATGTGTGTTGGAAGGGAGGACGGAAGCAAGGGAGGGGGGAAAGGAGGAAGGGAGGCAGGGAGGGAGAATTGTGGTTATGTGTGTTGGAAGGGAGGACGGAAGGAAGGGAGAGAGAGTGGGAGGAAAGGTTTTGCCAAGAGTAACTCTTGGCTCCTGTCTTGGTTGTGTCAACATGGCCAGGAAAATGTATTGTTACTGGAAGCAGCCTTCAGTGAGAAGAATGCCTAGAGATCCTTTGAGGTTTCCTCTTTTGAAACACACTGGTATAATGTGAGTGAATGAGCGCTAGAAAATTTGAGAAAGATGACTTAATAATTTAGATAAGTGTTATTTGCTTAAGTATTATGAATATCTGTGTAGCTCTTACAGAGCTTTTACATTTATTATCTTATTTGATACTAGTGGCCCGGTGCACAAATTTGTTCACAGTAAAAGGGAATTAATTAGAGGAAATATCTTAATATTGCTATTTGCCTTTTCTCTATAATAGAAGTGTCAGAGATGAAAGTAAATGAGTAGAATGTATCTGCCCATTTGGGGTTGCATGTCATGGTTATGAATAAATCGGGCTTGCCATACTTCGTTACAATTGCCATAGCATCCTGATATCGCTGTTGCATATTTCTGGGACTACCTTCAAAAGATGATGGAAGTATTATCATTTTACCA